CAAAAAGCAGAAAGAGTCCTACTAATCCATTGTCCGGTCTAATAATCAATTCTCTAAAGTCCTGGGTGTTTAGGTATCATATAGACAATCTTGTTTAGTATCCCTATCAAAATAAACTGATACTGTACACAGAAACCGTTAATTTCACAACTGCTTCCCAATCGAAGCAGGTGTTAAGATTCCATAATACAAAAGACTCGCATAATATTGGATTACTTTTGGAAGTACTATAAAGGAGCTGCCTGCCTGATTACTATAAAAATTACCTTCTATTACTATTCAGTCTTCTTCAGAAAATGGAACACAAAAAAACTAATTTAAATAATTTCATTAAATTGACATTTTTTCTTGGCACCCTAAATAATCTTGAAGCCTTCATACTTCTCTTTGCATGTAAGAGATCAAGGGGTAGTCTGGCTCCAGGAACTGGTATGGGGCCAGTTTCTGATGCTTAAAATATCCTAGTTCTGTATTGGGGTCATGGTAGAAACAAGGCTGAATTACAATACTCACTTAAAATACATTACAGTCTGATCCATCTTTGCTGTGCTTTCTCAACCAGATGAAGACCTTTCTTTTCAGATAGGCTTTCCTTTAGCGACTGCCTGAGAGGGGTTTAAAATAACAATGCCTTGCTAATTTGAATCTGGTTTTGGTGTTGATTTTACTATTTTTAGTGTGGTATATGTTTGATTTTTAAAAAACATTTGTATACTTGCTGTTTTGAGTTTTTAAATATTGTCTTTTAATGATACAAAGCGCCTTGGATCTTTTTTAAGGAGAAAGGGAAGGCAAAAATATTTTACATAAATAAATACATACAAGTTGAGAAAAAGTATAAATTTAATGAAAACAGGATTTACAATATTGTTTTGACTGCTCTTGCTATTTATGCAGTAAACTATAAATAAATTGAAAGTGAACTGTTTACTACTTAATTAGTAGTTATGTGCCATCAGGTTGATATTGACTTATAGCAACTCTTGTCAGATTTTTTTTTACACATAAAGTACTCAGAAGTGGTTTACCAATCACTTCTTCTAGTAGTGCTCTGGGACTATGCAGCTTGCCCAAGTCTACTCAGATTGGTTCTCCTTCCATGTGGCACTGTGAGTTTCCTAAGTATATAAAGTACAGTGGAACCTCTACTTATGAGTGTCCCTACCTACAAACGATCCAACTTACGAGCAGCTCCGTCCGCAAAATTTTGCTTCTACTTGTGAACGGAGCTTCAAGATATGAACAGAAAAAGGTGGGCAATTCAAATTCCTAACTAAGTGGCACTGAGGCTGCTTCTTTGTGTTGTAGCTCTTTCTGCAGTTATAAGGTGTGTCGTAGTTGGAGGCTTGGGAGAGCCTCCTGCTTCAGAGTGAGCCTGTGTGTGTGTGTGCAGGGAGGTAAGCTGCTGTTTTTCCTTTAAAAAACTGTTCTGGGTGGGTTTTGGTGTTTCTGTGCTGTGTTGTTAGTGGCTCTGCTTCGGAGTCAGCGTGTGTGTGTCTGCTGGGAGGGTATGTGTCTGTGCTCTGCTTTGGAGGACTGAGTGTGTGTATTTGTGTCTGCAGGGCTCTGGAATTTGGTGTTTTTTTTAGTTTTTTCTTAAAGCCTCAGCAACGGAGCACCTTCCAACTGGGCTTGCTGTGATCTCTTTTTTTGGTGATTTTTTTTTCTTCGGACGGAACGGATTAATCAGTTTTCGATGCATTCCTATGAGAAATGCTGCTTCTACTTACGAACGTTTCACCTTATGGCCACCATTCCAAAATGGATTAAGTTCGTAAGTAGAGGTTCCACTGTACTCAGAAACTGTTAACCAGTTCCTTCTTCTGGATAACTTTCTTGAAATCTATCTGACTGCCTACATAAATATAACATTCATACCATTCTTCCTAATGTGCTCTTCTTTGGCTCTTTAACTACTACTATCCTGTTTCCCCGAAAATAAGATCTAACCAGTAGTACTAATTATAGTACTGAAATCTTTAAAACAAAAACAATTATCATAGCTTGTATCTTCACAGACTAAGATCTATTACACTGTAATAAATTAGTTTGTTTTTAAAAGATTCCTCAATATTTTCGCTGCATCAGACTAACATACACTTGCTCTGGAAACAAATTACAGTTTCAGTAGCTGTAAAAACTTTAGTTGTTTTTTTTCTTACCCAGAAGTAACTCTAACAAAGTCAGCTAGATTTCTGAGTAGACAGAGAACTGTACTGTTTTCTGTGGAAAACTCACAGAACTAGATTTCTTATCTGCTGGGCATATACATAATTTAGCAGGTATTTACCCATAAAAAGTTGAGAATGTCAAGCATGTGTGATCATTCCCCCCATACACACATGCACACACTGAATCATCACTTTTAAAAGAACTTGACTCATTTAGAACCTCATTCTCAATACTAGAGCTCTGACCTACTTACATGCTTCTTAATCTGTTTGCTTGGTGAGATGTTTATTAAAAATTAAGAATTTTGTAACTGTGCAGCATTAATATCACCAAAATTCTTCTCTAACACCACTGGCAATTAGTCTCCAACAAAATAAACTTCTAATATTATTGGAACATTACTCCTTTATAAATAAGACCAGCATTCAGAACAACCAGCCTTATGGCTAGAAAACTGTAGTTCAGTAAACTTTAGTTACACTCAACATCATCCTAACTGCTTTAAAATGAGGAAGCAGCACTACAGAGCAATTTGACTGAAGTTCCAACAAACTAAGATTCCACCTGTTCAAGTAAATCATTCAAGAAGACAACAGTCACCACTCAAAAGACTAATCTTCATTTGTTAATGAAAAAAAAATACAGGCACTGACACAGTACAACAAAGAGTCAATGATTTAGACTAGTACACTTTATATAGCACTTAGCACACCGTCATAGCTTAATATAAGTGCACTTACAAAATTAGCTACATGCATTTCTAAGTGTCTAGTTTCACAAGGCATATGAGAACAGGACACCAACATCTCTGGCTGAGAGAATCCAACGTTAGAACTGTAAAATATGCACAAAATGCCACTCCAAAGTTACACTGGTGAAGTAAGAATTTCAAATATCCCTGTATATCAATATTTCTGAAAGTATAATTACAGGCTACTAGTTATCAAGAGAAATATTTTATAACCAAACTACTATGTTATAAATATTCAATTCCTGAAACAAAAACTCCACAACTGTTTACATGCTCAAGTTCTTCAAAATAAAAACAATCCCCATAGCAGTATAGCTTTTCAAAGTTCAGGTCGAGAGATCTAGGTTTCTCATCAACCCACACACACACACACACAAAAATTACAAACATAAGCAGATAGTACAAAAAGTAACATTTCACAATAATTCGGTTTCAGTGAGCAAGATACACCACCACAGCACGAAGGACAATACAAACCAATCACCAGCATTTCACTTCAGAGAATCCAAAGAAAAGACTAAATTGTGATCGTGCAACTGTACTTCAAGGTAAAGTCCCCTAACTTGTATGACTGCCAGTACCAAGGGATCCCTTCAACACGTACCATTTTAAGTTAGCTTTTTCCCCCCTTGACATGGAAACAGACATTAACTTTCCCAAAACTACAGTTGCTGATTACCTCCGTGTCCCAAAGGGAAGCAATAATCCCTTGTAACACGAGTCGTCCGCGACCACGCCTTCCTGCTGCCCCCTTAGCAAGTTGCAAGCGGAGCAGTCGTGTCACATTTCTTCTTTCATACGTACACAAGGGATCCTAAAGGTTAGTTTTACACAAGCCGAACAG